AAACAGTTTAAGGTGGGGAGGGCGTGAGGAAACCACAAAGAGCTTCCTTTGGGCTTGCACAGTGCCAACCTGACAGAGAGCTGCCAAAAAGCAACAGATGTTACAGAGAATCTGTGCTGCCTTGTGGAGGAAATCCTACAGTCCTGGGCTTACTTCTTAGGCAAGGGGCTGAAGTAGGATGCAAGCCAAAAATCAGTGGGGAAACCTGCCTCTACAAATCTATATGGAGCCCAGCAAGAAAGGTTGGTGATACCTACAGTATTCCAGACACAGAAATAGGAATGGTTGTCCAGAGTTAAAGTTCTCCATCCTGAGAAATAGATTGGAAAGTTACCAGAGCAGCCAAGCCCATACAGCTCCAAACAAAGAAAAGCCAGGGGTGCTTTCTTAAAAGCTCAGATATTCCTATTCCTCAGTTTTCTGCAGCATGTTATCACTCACTGATATATCAAATGTCCATTTAAACAGATCTTCTGGACATCCTTCAAGCATATAGGCCAGACAAAAAATGGAGGAGGCAGTAAACACTGGGGTTATAGGTTACAGGCCAGGCAAAGGCTTCAGTGAAGCAGCCACACTTAAGAATACAAGCTGCTGAGACACTCCCTGCATCTCAACGTGAGCTGGACCCCCCCAGTACAAGCTTCCTGAGTGAGGGCAAAGAGGGCAGCAGGAAAGCAGAGGAAAAGGGTGCCTTCAACTCCATTGAAACAGCAAGGATTTCCAGCATGGAAATTGAAGGGAAAGGAACAGGAAGGGGACATGTCTGTTTGCCCCACCCTAAAAAAAAGCACCTTGTAACAGAGTGACATCTATACCAGTTACTAGACTGCAGCCTTAGTTTGTCTGTCAAAAATAATAAGACCTATAATTCTAGCCATTTTTCTTTCATAGGATACATTAGTTTGAAGTATAGGGGTTTTTCTTTGCCATCAGAAAGATTCCAGAATTAATAAGTAGGAGAGAGAAGAGCAACTCAGATGAAGTTGTTCCAAGTCTTTCCAAATAGCATTGGTGCTTCTGCTACTTCTGATTTTCTAAAGAGTCTGAATGTTGTCCTACCCCAGATTAGGGCCAAGTCAAGACCTCAGTCTGGATATAGTTTACATTCTTTTCACATCTGTTTGCCTGAAGAACTGTAAACCGCTTTTGAGGGAGGTTGTTTTGTTTGTTTAAATCGGATTTTTCAAAGGTAACTTAGGCTGGTTAAAGAAACATTTTGGAGGATATTTCCAAACCTGTTAGGTGGAACATCCTGGCAACAGTAAGACCAGGTTCTGGAAAAGTGTCTCATGAGAAATCAAACCTATTTCCAGAGGGTTTACTTCATCTTCTTTTCACCTGAAAAGATTAGTTCGTTTCATATAAAAAAAAAAAAAAAAAAACAACCTCTATAGTCAATTCTCCACTCTAGATGGAGGTGGCCATATAATTTGTATCACAATTGCATGGATGACTCTAATCTAGTTAGATTAATTTTGTTTTACATGGACCCTTGGAAGTGTATCCATCCACAGAAAGCATCCAGAATTAGTAGGAGAATTGCTAGCAGAATTACGGTGCCAGTCCTCTAAAATCATAGAATTTACGCAATATTCTGCTGTCACAAACCTGATGATATAGCCACCCTTTCATCACATAAAGGGTAACAGTATCCTAATTAAGAACTCCGGCCTTATGTTCAACAGAAACAAACTAATGAATTGACTATGAAGATGCCATAAAGTGGGATGCGACTATGATATTTTGCCTTGTGTATAAACTAGTGTCAGTAAACAATTTATTTAATGTAGAAGTCACGTGGTATAGGCTGCAGTGGATTTATAGCTACTTGCATTTTAGAATTGTTTGTGCCTCAACAAAATAGCTGTCTCACTGACTATCATACAAGCCTGCTATACTGCTGCTGGAACCATAAACATATTCTCATTAGTGGCCCATGGCAATTTATATCAGAATAGCTTGTGTCACACCACAGACTCAGGAGCTGCTGCTGTGCAGCCAAATGTTAGCTTTTTTTTTTTTTTTTAAACCAGATCTGTAACAATCTGGCTACTTTGTCACAATAAAAATAACAAAACAAACCCTGTGTGTAGGGATTGATACACAGGTACACATTTTATTTATTGTTTACAAAATCAAAGGGGCAAATCACACCAGTATCATGAAATTAAAAATTCACAAATAAATATTTTGGATGCCTAAATTATCTACATTTTAATTTACCTATCATTCCCGAGCCAATTCTGAATGCCTACCAAGCCGGGAACACAGAAATGAAAGCCTTTATCTACTTTCAAAGTTGAAGGCCAATGTATAGAAAACACTTCAAGTTTCTTTCACTGTCTTTATGAAAGAAGGTGGAATTGGGCTTCTGTGAGGTTTTTAACAATACCTTATTATTATGCAATAAACATGCATAAGAAGCGGTAGATCAAACTTAGCTTAGATCAAGCGGAATGAATCTTTTGGTGAAGGAGAAAGCAGTGGTGAAGGACAGGCAGCTCTTCCTTGTCAGAAGTGAGAAATTAGTTTAATATACCACACAAGAGAAAGACAGAAGGGAAGGAGAGATCCCCTCATTAAATGCTCACCATTTGAGCCCTGCTTAATATGTTGACTGATAACTAGTATACGCAGTTGCAACAAGCAGAGGCCATTCCAAACAATGATGCCCATCTGTTATGGCAGCACTTTAGTCTTAGAACTTCCAGCTGCCACTTCTGGTTACATGTGCCACATTATGCATAGCCTCGCGTACCAAATGAGCATGGTCTGTGCTCCCTGATCATGACTTTTACAGCTCAAGTATCACCCTGCATGTGCATTAACAGGCTGAAGTTTTAGTGCCACTGACTAAGTAAGTGTGTGTGTGTGTACACACAGGAAAAAAAAATGGGGGAGGTGGGCAGAGAGGAGGAGAAGGGAAGGAAGAGCCAGGGTTAAACCTGTTTCAGAAAACAGGCTGTTCTGCTTTATTTAGAGTGGGCACCTTGATATACAAAAGCATCATGCTTTCAATACTGTATACCAAAACAGCATCCGATATAGGTACCAAGAGCACCTCAGTTTTGAAGAATATGGAAAGGGCACCAGGGGGAGGAAAGGAGGGGGGGAAAGAGGATACTACTAAAGTTAGTTTTTACTAACTCAGATCTTTCTGGAAGACTTATGGAGAAAGCTGGCAACTGTCACCACCAACCTCCACTGCAGGCCTGATTTCCACAGTTAAGTGACTTGATAGAAATTATCCCTTTATTTCACAGGGAAAGGAAACCTATTTTATTTCCCCATTAGCATCTACTAAAAACTTTATAAAGTTCTGATCAGGAAGCCCTTACTTTTTGTCAGTCTAATAATGACCCTTGTCAATGTGAATGGAACAGAGTAGAAAGTGTCCTGGGGATCCTTCTCTCCCATATGATACAAGTAAAGACATGACTGTGAAAAGAACCACCTCAAAAGATGATTTTGCTTGCATGCTTAAGGGTCTTGTGTTTTGGCCTGCAAAGTACAGCATGTAAGCACTTACTGTACTCCTGCAGCTCTCTAAAGAGGTCAGTGCAGAATCCCTCCACATAGAACTTAAGGCAAATGAAGGCTTTTGTAAGGTGCACCCTTGCAATCCCAGGATAATTGGTTATAGTGAAGTATTAACAATGCTTTAGACCAACAGGGGCCCCATCTCTTGTAAAGACTCAAGAGCAACTGGTACAGACTGAAGTGTTTTGCATGTTTCATCAGCCAGCGTTGATAGTCCCCCTCGCCCAGTGCTGTACAGCATGGGTACCTATATATACCTGTTTTTACCACGTTTTCAAGAATAGGGTACTGCAAAGTAATAATAAGGTTAAACAAGATTACAGCTGTCCGATCTAAAGACAAATGAGTTACCTGGCTTTCACACTGCTTTTTTCTAGTCAGCTCCATGTTTGCAACTTCTTCATCAGGATCCTGCAAGAACTATCAAAAGTAACATGTAGTTTCTGAAGCACAAACCACAGGACAAGCATCCGTGTGCCTGGTCCCTCAGGACCACAGTCCCGCAGCAGACCCCCCAACCACCCCACACCCGACCACCACATGGCCTCCAGACACCCAACAAAAGGAGGCGAGGGCTCGGAGGCCAAGCCCAGCGGCAGAGCAGGCGCCGGCCTGCGGGCATCAGGGTGGGCGGCTGGGCCAGGCGGGCCCACACTCACCGTAGCCACATCAGCTTTCCTCTTGCGGGCTCGCATGGCGCTCTCAGCGGACCCGTCCCCATTGGCGGGCGCCTTCTCCTCCGAGCAGTCACTGCCAAGAGAGGAGAAGCTAAAGGAGCTGCGGCAGCGAGGAGCCTCCTCAGGGGTGGCTGCGGAGACCTCGGCCTAGAGGGCCCCGCGCACGGCAGGGCCAGCAAGCAGACTTACCTCTCCCGGCGCATGGTGCCTGCCTGGACCGGGTCGGGGCGAGCGGAACGCTGTGCGGGGATCAGCCGAGCAGGCCCAAGCCTCAGCCCCCACAAAGAGCAGCGGAGACGCGGGCGCACGGCGCGGAAAAGGGCGGCCGCAGCCCCGGGCCGGCCCCGCCGGCTCCCCCAACCCCGCAGCCGGTCACCCCAGGAGGCGACAGGGGCACCCACCACCCGCTGCCCAGCGGCACCGCACTCGGTAGCTCGCCTCCGCTCCGGACCAGAGCGGAGGGTAACTGGGTAGGTGGGTGCCCAGGGCAGCGCTGGCGGGGCGCGGGGGCAGGGCGGGAGCGCGGCGCGGGCGGGCTCCGCTGGGCGCCTCCTGCCTCACGGCGCGGCCGCTCCCGTCCCTACGCACAGCGCAACCCGCGCCGAGCGGGACATTTAAACGAGCGGCGCGGGGCCGCCTCCCCGCCCGCCCGCACACGTGGCCCCGCGCTCTGCTCTGAAGCGCCGCCGGGGCGGGGTCTGCGGGGGGCGCGGCGGGCTCGGCGGCGAGACCCGGGGAGCTGCGCAGGGCGCCGCGGAACCCCGCGACAGGGCTGGCGGGGCGGGGCGGGGCGGGGCCGGGGGCGGGGCCGGCGGCACCGACGCGGAAGCGGCAGGAGCGCTTAGGGCTGCTGCAGGTGGATGCCGGTGGCGGGGTGAGGTGACCCAAGGCGCAGGGAGCGGAAGGGACGGAGCTGTGGCAGCAGGCCGGGCGGTCCCGTCCGCGAGCGGGAACGGGCCCGGCCTGTCCACGGCGAGAGGCGGGCCGCCTCCGGGACCTGTCGTTCCCACCCCTCCCCTGCCGGCCCTGATCCCTTCTCTCCTCCCCGCAGGGATGCTGCTACCCAGGCTCTTTGGGCGGCTGAAGACAGCGGTCGTCGGGGTGGTGCACGTGGGAGCGCTGCCAGGTGAGCGGCGGCGCCCTCGGCAGCGGCACCTGTCAGCCCGGCTGTGGCCCGGAAGAGGGCCCGCCGCCCCGGGCCCCTCATAAAGTACCATAGGTTTGCACGTTCCCCCTTTCCAGCAGTAGCAGAGGCAGGAGGTACTACTGGGTGAGGAGCACAGGGAACACGGGGTGGTTTTGGTGAGCCGTGTTTGAGGAGGCAACGGTTATAAAATCACACAAAGGGGCGTTGGGACAGGGGACAACTCTACCACATGTCAGGTAGAGCTCTCACAGATCCCCTTGACAGGCTGGTGCCCAGAGCTCACCAAGCTCCACATTTTCCCAGAAGCAGGCTCTAGGCAGCATGGCCAGCCTTCCATGAAAACAGACCATGTAACCAAGCTGCCAGAGAGCTCTTCACAGTCCACATTTCAGACTCTGAGCTTTAGGAGCCCAAACATCAGAAAAGGCTTTGGAGCTATTCTTAAGTGAAACTCGCTGAACTCTGCAAAATCCATGTGTGTTCGTTTCTGCTATGAAGCACTTATACCGAAGTTCAGATATAATCAACCTTGCAGATTAGAGTTTAAGATATCTTTATGTAATTTTAAATTGACTTGTGTGTAGCACAGGTGTTCTGCAGACCTAGATATCTGTCTTGCCATAGGCTGTATTGCATGGAACATCACTAATGTATAATAAGTACAGGAATAACAAGCCAAGAGCAGATCAGGTACAATAAGAGAATACAGCAGGTATTTATCGAGTTTGTCAGTTACATTTAGGAGCCGAACAGTTACAGCAGACCTGAGAAGTTCTCCTAATGAGAGAGATGCCACTAAGGCATGTCATAATCAACCTTGTAGCAAGTTTATTCTATTTCTCCCTATTTCAGTGTGCCAATCTCTATAGTTAACCTGAAAGCTGTTACTGTATGTGGTTTTGGTTTGTGCAATCCTTGAGTAAGCAGCATTACTCTTGCAGGGACACCAAGAAGTTCTCTTCCATTGACCCAGATCATTGATCAAGCTTGTCAAGAGGCAGAAGTTTACAAGAATGCTGGAGTTGTAAGTTTTGGGTTCCTACTTCCTATAGCAGCATTTACACAAAGCTGCTTCTGCATAGGCAATATTTTTTAAATTGAGTCTGTAATTCAAAGAGTCTTAACACAGTTTAGGAAGATGCTTAAATCCACATCTTTCATTTCAATATCGTAAGTAGGGATTGATTACAAAACCTAAAATAAGCATCACATGCACCCAAAACGATTGAAAAAGCTTAGACTCAAACTGTGTAATTTGAATTGCTTCAGTTGGATTACCATCAGTTTCTAAGAATCAAGTCAATTTAAGGGAGAAAGAAAAAAAGTAACATTGACTGCAACATGGACAGTTGCTGACCTTCTAGGCATCTGGCTGTAGAATCCTTCATTATCCAGTCTGACAAGCCACTGTATTTTTAGCTCTGTGCAGTACTCTGGTTTCATGTAGTCATGGAGGCACACTCTCACACAGCCAAGGCATTGCATATCTCAGTCACTTGCAGGCTGCAGGGTTGCCCCATGCTTGGGTTTGTACCAAAACACCACAGATTATTCAGGGAATAAAAACTAAGAGGTAAGCTTAGAAGCTTTTCTGCCCTTTAACCCTTCTATTCAAGCCGCTTGACTGGAAGTATGCCAGCTTTGCACATCTAGAAGAGAAGGCCCAAAAGGCCAGTCTCAGTGAGAGGCAAGTCAAGGCAAGTACTACTGACTGAATTGCCACTGTACCTAAAGTGGAATAGTAATCTTCATTGGTCAATAGATTTTAACATGTACTTTTTGAAGGTCAGACATGTTTTAAACATTTCATTGCACCAGTCTTTGGGTGTACAGTATTATGTACATTTTCTGGCATGGTAAGGTGACGTCCTAATGTCCAATGTTTGAAAAATATCTTAAATGAACAAGTAGCCACTACTCTGGGCTGTTGCTGTCTGCACAACAAGCTGGTTGAAACATTTTTAATGGTGTAAGTTACCATGAGACTTTAGGGACTGAACAAAATTGAATGTAAGAACTTAGTCTAAATTATAGAAGACCAAGGTCACAATGCAAGACAAGTCACATGAAGTAGATTATGGGCAGAGAGAGCTAGCAAATTAGAAAGAATCCTGGGAATTGTTTAAAGGATAAACATCAGTGTGAAAAAATGATGTTTACATAGTTGGGCTTGTGAATCAGATGGGCAAGTACAAGATGGCCGCCCAGTTAGAATAATCTCGTACTGCAAATTGTACAGGATGAGTAAGTTTTCTTCCTTTTTGTGCCTGTTGACAGAGCAGGTGTGCAATAGCTCTGTATTCTGTACCGTGACTTTATATTTTGACTTTACAGTTACAGTATCATGATGATATGAGGTATAACATGATTTAATTTACATCAGAAGAGTGGCAAGTACTAGTCTTTGTCTTCCTGTGTTAGAGGAAGTGGTTATACAAGTGATCTCTAATTTGTAAAGCCATTCCCTCAAGTTTCAGTGCTTGTTTACCCATTTCTTTACATACTAATTGCACATCAAAACTTTTATCAGCAGATAGAAAACACCAAGTATACCTAAAGGTGAGGGAAGGTACAGAAGCAGTTACTTTCACTGCTGACATACACGAAGTTGGAACAATTTTAAGACAAGCTTTAAAATCCATTCTAACACAGAATTTTAATTTGGGGTTTATACTTTATTGCCTTTTCAAGAGTTGAAATAAATTTTGCTATTCCAGGTCTAACTGGTTTACATTTTTTCCTCCCGTATTACAGCCTCTGAACTTGAATGTATTTTTAAGCATAATTCTTGGGTAGGACAGATAAGGTAAATGCAGTCATTTCTCTGCACATTTGGACAAATACAAGGCTTGAAGTTATGTTTAGTTGATTTGCTGTAGAAGTCACAAGAACATCAGTGTACATTCCACACCAATCTTTGTTCTAACAGTCATAGCAGCAGTATGACAAACAAATCCTTATTAGTGCCATAAAGGTCAGAAATAATCAGGAGAGCATCCATAAATATCAGTATAGCTGCCTAACATATTCTGCAATTTATTTGTGTATTTTTTCATGGTACTTTAAAAGAAAAGTAAGTTTTTGTGATAGATACTTTCAGGAATTCCTGGCTTCTGAACAGAGATCACCACTCTTCCAAAGTAACTATCCAGCATATGTAATGGAAATATATTTGGGTTTGCCCCTCAGTATCTCAAGTGATCTGCTAAGCTGTCTGTTTTTTCTTGCGAAAGAAGAGCTAGAAATTTACAGGTTTTTTCCACAGATGTTTCTAATGACAGCATTTCCAAATCTTTTAGAAGATAAGTAACCATCTTGCCACAACTAGATGTTTACATATTTTCTCAAGTTGCTTGAATTTGTGCTAACATTTACAAATAAAGTATATGGTCTTGCTCACTCAATATGCATTGCACTTGGATAAATCCTAGTATTTTCAGAAAAAGGTGACTTGTCTGGCACATTAGCAGCTTAACATAATAAATATGAAAGATTTGTGATATTACAGCACAGTAATGAAAACAAGTGAGTGCTCAGTTAGGAAGCCATCTGTGCTCAAAATGTATATGCTTTGTACTCGTGTGTTGCTAAACAATGAAATTCCCTAGGCAAGATTTTATAAGCAGCAAGCTATGATCCCTCCAATTTGTATCTGCTTTTGCTTAAGACAAATGCAAAATGTGTATTCAAGTAAACTTTTATTCATTCTGTTCAGTCTCTGATGCTTCTCTGTAGCCAGAAAATAGAGCACAAGTTCCCTCTAATTTCATTGAAATAGATCACTTTACTACTAGTTGCTGTAATCTAGCTGTAGCTACTTGAGTAGCTGACGTTAAAAACAGTTAGAGATACACAAGTAAAACTATTTCTATTTAAAAAAAATCCCCAAAACATAAAGTTATGTTGAATTGCAAATATTATGGTGCTTCTTACCACACAAAATTTTGGTTCACTTTTTTTTACCAGTGCTCATCCTCCTGATGCTTCATTTGTCTTTGTAACTGGAATGGGATTTGCTACTACATGTTTTACATTGATTAAAAAAAAAAGAATTTCAACCCTGTTACTCTTAACTACAATGATAGTTTGGATTCAAATTAGACTTTAATAACAGTTGAGATAATAATAACATAATATTCTGTTTAATAACTGAATAAAGTACTGTTTCTTCATAGAAACATGTAGGTAGTTATAACTTGGATTACAGAGATTAACATTTCAAATCTTCGCTGTATTACAGTAGAATAAAACAGACAAATACTTCCTATGGTATATAATGGAATCACAGACTGGTTTACATTGGAACTCACCCAGTTCCAGCCCTCTGCCGCAGGCAGGGACACCTTCCACGAGACCAGGCTGCTCCAAGCCCTGTCCAGCCTGGTCTTGAACACTGCCAGGGATGGGGAAGCCATAGTTTCTCTGGGCAACCTGTGCCAGTGTCTCACCACCTTCACAGGGAAGAATTTCTTCCTAATGTCTAATCTAAATCTCCCTTCTGTCAATTTAAAACCATTCCCTCTTGTCCTGCCACTACCTGCCCTTGTAAAAAGTCCCTCTCTAGTTTTCTTGTGGGCCCCTCTAGGTACTGGAAAACTGTTATAAGGTGTCTCCAGAGCCTTCTCTTTAGGCTGAACAAGCCCAACTTGCTCATAGGAGCTCTGTCTTCATAGGAGAGGTGCTTCAGCCATTGGATCATATGCAGGAGAATTGCTTAGTAATATATTTAATTATGTCTATTAAAGCAGTAACCTCTTGTTCTAGAGATAGAATTTTAAAAGTAATAGCTACAAAGCTGTGCTGCGACACAGGTCATAAATACTTTGCAAAGGCACCTGATTTCCTTCATAAGGAGCCCATGACTATGGTGGTGGGAAAGGCTGTGGTTATCTCAGTGTACATCTGAGCCTGTATAATGGTGGGTATAGTGCAAGGTATAGTTCCCTTTTCTCCCTGGAAGAAAGAGGAATTGTTTTAAGTTTGTAAAGTTTTGTATTAGTAGGCATGTGTTTATAGGTAAGACCTTTCTGTTAAAGGAAACACTAAGATTAAATTTGTCCTAGATAAAAGTTACATTAGGTAGATACTGAGTTAAAGCTTGTAAGATTGTTATATTTGTGGTTTATAGTGTTGTGACTACATTTGAGATTTTTCTACTATGATATGTGTGTATGAGGCTGAAGTGCTTTAAGAGGTTATTTCTATAAGTGGAATAAAGCTATGGAAATTATTTTTCTATAAAATCAGAGAGCTGTTTAAATGACCTATTTTCTAGTAGGTAGCTCTGATACAAGAGGCACTTTGCACGCATACATAGCACTTCAGAAGTCATTCAAAGTAAAAAGAAAATATGTCGTTTGAGAATTGTTTATAATGAGGCCATTATATATAAGCAACACTTAAATAATCATAATATTCAGTAGAAAAGGAACACAAAAGGTATTTGCTAGAGTTTATCTTTTATTATCCGAGTAAATTCTTCTTTGAAGTGTGTTATACAGTAGCTGTTCCTATGAACTTCTAAACTGTAAGATTAAGTGCCAAGAACTTGAATTCAGCATAAGGGTTTTCTTTCCACCATTTTAATTAGCTGCCTGATAGTAATGATATCTGTTTTATATACATATCAATTCAGTAAACACAGAAATCTGTGGTGTTATTTTTTATATAAAATATGAAAGAAAGTTCTGAGTTAATGCATCTGTAATTCAGCTCTCACTATTGCAGAACGTATGTTGTTCTTTTTTTAATTAAATAAAATATAATATGCAAAAGAACAGAGTCTATTGGATGGTACCAAAAGAAGAAGACTTTATTAAAGTCATACCAAAAATATTCACTGTAACTGTGGGCCTTGAGGCCATAGGAAGCGACAACTGCTGAAAAGTGAATATAGCAAGTTCAAGGCAGAAGAGAGGAATGTTGGAATCCTCCCATATGCCTGCATTTAGAACAAGAATTCACATGCACAGTAGCATGGCTTAGGTTTTTAATTAATTTTAAAATGAATCAATTCATTAATCTAATGGAATAATTTGCTTTATGCAAATCCTGAGCTGTTGAAGTAGTAGGAAGCCATGGAAAGTTCAGTTTCACTGTGGAATTTCTGTGGAATTCTGTGAGCTTATTCTGCTTTTCCTGCTACTAGCATGGCTCTTCAGGAGCTGAGCATCTGACGTCCCATTCCCAGGTGTTTTTCTTCATGTGTGTCCTATTGAGGTTGATTCTTGACTGCCTGAAAGCAGCTGGTTTGCAGACCCTATCTCCTTGCCCTTTTGATAAGCTTGGAGTTTCATAGATACCCATGTTTTGGTGAAGTCTGCCTAGCAAAGCATACTTAAGGCAAGCACCAAGGGCTTCTAGATTCTGTGGTCTCAAGAAAAATACCTGGGTTTGAGGGATCATTGCATTTTTTTGTTTTGTTTTGCTAAAATGGTATAGGTTTAGATTAATCTTTTTGCCAAATAGTGCTACTGACCAACTTTGCATTCTTGCTTAGACTGACCTAATAAATTTGTATACAGAGGACAAAAGGCCAAGGGGTTTCTCTTTCTGTTGGTCCCACAAAGGATTTGGTAACTGCACCTGGGTTTCAACACCATTTGGTCAGTTCAGGTTTGTTGGAACAGTTGTGACCCCATTCCAGAGGAACAGACTAAAAGGTTGTGATTTTTTTTTCCTTTTTTTTTTTTTTCCATTTCTGAAAATACTATGAGTTTTCTGAGGACTGGTTGTCACCTTTGTTGTATTGGCTACCTTCCATCACAGGTAGAGAAGTGTGGATGTTAGACTATACATTGAATTGGACACAGAAACAAAATCAGGACAGATGTTTTGATTAGTTGTCAAATCTGGTTTTCTTTTGCCTAGTTGAGGTTTTCTGGGACTGGAATTCTGTAATTCAATACGTTGATGAACAGTAGCAAATAGTGCATAGGTCTAACGTTGGGTGCTCATATCAGATTGCTTTTTTCATTATCATTTGTGTCCTTTTGTTTTTAAGGTAGCATGCATTTGAGTGTTTAAATACTCAGCTGTAAGCCATTTGTTAAAGGTGGCTGAATGCTTGCAATGAATGCATGTGGGTCGTCTGCTCAGTCTGACCGTGTTCTCCCACCAATGACTTCCACTCTGTTGTTCTCATCCTGCATGTTAGGTGTTTATTTATCATGTCTGTAGCTCACTCAGTAATTCAGCCATTAAATGCTGACTGCATTTTATATACTCTCTTATCTTTTACTGCCAAAAGAGCTTCTACACTGCAACAAAGATTAAAGAAGCATTACATATAAAAGTTTTTTTAAAATAGAAATCTTCCCCCACTCCCCCTTCCTGATTCTCTATGTTATTGTTAACCAGACTTCTTTCTCTAATCTCTAGTTGGTTTGTTTTGTTTTTTTTTCTGAAACATTGTTCCTTCTATTCTGGCTCAGTTACAATGTCTTTGAAATGTAAAGCTCTCATTTTAAAGGATTAAGATATGTGATAGAACTCCAGAGAGCATGAAATTTATTTTCTATATGTACAATTAATCTATTAGACTTTTTTTATATTCAGATTGAAGCTGGTGAGAAATGTTTAGCTTCTTTTAACATCCTCTCTGCAAATGCAGAACATCAGACTTGAAATATATTTTACAGCTATACTTTTGTTATTAGTCCTTGACAAAATTATATATGACTTACAGTTGTTGAAAACTTTCTGGTATATACTCTACAATGATAGGAAAAGTACAAGATATTCAATAAATCACATAAATTATATCTGCAGAACATTTTTTAATCACTCCATTGTATGCTAAGAGTATGTTTGTGTGGAGTGAATGGTGTAGGAGATAATAAGTAGCAATATCTTCAAGTAATTCTGAATCTGGAATGAGAAAAATGTCTCAGTTAAAACCATAGTATTAGGAATACTACAAATAGATACAGTAATAGTCAAACAAAAAAATCCTTTATTTATCAAAAATAACACATTTTCTGACATTAATTTAATTTGAAATTGTCTTGATTATCTCTACATCCTCCGTTATCCAAACATACTCAATATCCTATATTCCACTCGGATAATTGAAGTTTGACTTTACATTATTTTTAATGAGGTATAAGGTTTAACTCATTTGCCTATAGTTCACATTTTAGGATGGATCAAAAGAAACAAAATTGATGAATGTATAATTAAAATCACATTTGTTTCTCTTCATGATTTCCCTGCAAATACCATGCTGTTGATGAAAGCACTTTTAAGAACGGTAATACGCATCAACACAATTTACTGTAGATAATCCTTCGTTTGAAGGAAAACCTTTAAGTGCCTGTGTCTTTTAATACAGAATAGCATAATGGTAAACTAGCCATGTTTTTTAAGTTCCTTTTTTCCAGTTTAATGATATTTCTTTATAATAATCTCTCCAGGATGGCTTGATAATAGAAAACATGCATGATCTTCCTTACACGGTGTGTCCTGGGCCTGAAGTAACTGCAGCGATGACAGTCATTAGTGCTGCAGTGAGACGAGCCTGCCCCCATCTAGCACTGGGTGCCCAGATCCTGTGTGCTGCAAATCAACAGGCGATAGCAGTTGCTCTTGCTGCAGGTAATAGAAATGACTCGTCAGTTATTACTGTTGTTTGCTATGGCATTCACTCTGTGCAAATTGTGTATTGTACTAACATAGATACCATGAAAAATGAGACATGAAAAGTGCACTGTACCCTGAAAAAGCAGAAATTAGGTTTTGAGAAAAATGCCTGCTTGATTATAATCGATGGTACTTGGGCACTGCTTCAGTTGGAGGCAGCTAAAAATCCCAAGGCCACTGCAACAGCTTACTAGGTGAAACCTGTCTAAATATAATGATTAGTTTAAACCCACTCATGTCTAAAAGCCACCTTTGCTGTAACTCTGTTTACTTCAGTGAAGTTATATTTAAGGATCAATTTAACCCACTGTGGATAAGTATCCTGTATCAGCATCTGATTATATATTGCTACTACTGTTATCCATTAAAACTAAGTTTTCATTGCCTTTTTTGAAATGAATGGATGGAATTAAGCTTTTATGTAATAACAAAAAATTGAGTGTATAGCTAGCCAAACTACTTAAAATTAAATTACGTTTGGGGAAATTAAATATAAATTAATCTATGTTTATTGCATGAATCCTAGACTTGCTAATCTTTGTGCTCCTGCTGCTTGCTGAAGCAGTTTTAGTTATTTGTAACATTCCATGATTTAAAGATATGGAGTCTGTTTTAATATGGAAGGCTTTGTACTATGTAAGTTGCTACTTTCAAGGTATCCTGCCAGTTGAGAAACGGACAAAACCAAGTATTCATTGCTGCAGTAAAACCTACATAAAAACCTAAAGCAAAAATGCTAACAAATCCAGTTTTAATTTTTAGGAATTGTATGCATGTAGAATATTTGAGGTACAGAGGCATTTGCAAAAATATTTACACATTTTTAAAAGCAATAGTCTAACCATTAGTGAGCTTTGTTTCCTTTTAGGAGCAAAACTGATCACTAAATAAGGTAAATAGTGTGGGAACAATGTATTTTTCTTACTTCTCAGCAATTATTAATGAAGGAGAGAATGCCTGGAAAGCTTGGGGTTTGCTCAGCTCTGCTGCTGTTCTGCGCTATTTGCTCTGTAACTGCAGAACACCACTAGGAAAGGCCTGTGTTGAATGCATTACACTTCTCTAAAAATAATTGTCTCGAATTCACTGAGCAGGAAAGCAAAAAAGAAAAGAAAATCACTTTAAGCAAAATGGTAGTAAACTGAGTGCTGCTTTGTAGGTAGCAAATCTTTGACTAGTTGTTCTATAGCAGCTTAGTAGTGACTTTAATATCAACACAGTTATAATAGGTGGCTATTAATCATAGACTCATAGAACAGTTAGGGTTAGAAAGGACCTTAAGATCACCTGGTTCCAACCCCTCTGCCATGAGCAAACCATATCACCCAAAGCTCTGTCCAACCCGGCCTTGAACACCACCAGGGATGGAGCATTCACAGCTTTCCTGGGCAACCCATTCCAGTGCCTCACCACCCTCACAGTAAAGAACTTCCTCCTTATGTCCAATTTAAACTTCCCCTGTTTAAGTTTTAACCCATTACCCCTTGTCCTATCACTACAGTCCCTAATGAAGAGTCCCTCCTCAGCATCCTTGTAGGCTTCCTTCAGATACTGAAAGGTTGCTATGAGGTCTCCACACAGCCTTCTCCAGGCTCAACAGCCCCAACTTTCTCAGCCTGTCTTCATACAGGAGGTGCTCCAGTCCCCTGATCATCCTCGTGGCCCTCCTCTGGACTTGTTCCAACAGTTCCATGTCCTTTTTATGTTGAGGACACCAGAACTGCCCTCAATCCTCCAAGTGAGGTCTCACAAGAGCAGAGTAGAGGGGCAGGATCACCTCCTTCGACCTGCTGGTCATGCTTCTTTTAATGCAGCCCAGGATACAGTTGGCTTTCTGGGCTGTGAGCCCACACTGAAGCTGGCTCATGTTCAGTTTCTCATTGACCAACACCCCCAAGTCCTTTTCCGCAGGGCTGCTCTGAATCTCTTCTCTGCCCAACCTGTAGCTCTGCCCTAAAGTAAAGTAAGCTCTGCATACTTTTACTAGAAAAAATACTTGAAGGTGGTTTAGCTAGAAAAACCTGTGTGAAGGTAATGATATTATTTTGTAAAGGGGGAAAGAAGTCAGCAGTATACAGCGTTACTAGAAGAACCTCAACATCAGCAACATGTGGTTATGCTAATAAACCTGTTGAGGATAGCCAAATAGTAATAGATGAAATTACTGAATTTTCCTAGCATATTGACAAAGTACTGGATAAATGTGAAAATAACAGTAATACATCAGCAGATAAGGCATCTGAGAAGGCTGAGAGATTTTATTTATTTATTTTGGTTTTTTAGGAGGCATTTATTTATTCAACTAGGCACCTAAAGGAGAGAGTGCCAGCAAAAACATGTTTCTGCTGAGTTCTTCAGAGGTGTGGGGCAATGACAGGTAAATAGAGGGAGATCTTGAGGAAAAGAAGACTGCTGTGTCTCCACTCTTCTAAGGAGCAAGTGATTTCTCATGTAATCAAATAACAACTGTCCAGCCAAAACTATTGTTGCCGACAGCCTTTCCACTCCAGAAGGTTGTTGCAGACTCCAGTGCTGCACGCTTTTGGTTCAGCACACCAACTCCAGCACAGGGGGTTGAGGATGCAGTTGCCCAAGGGCATCAATCTGGTGGGCCATGGTTCCTCCGGCCCTGGACCTCGCTGCAAGGTGTTGTTGTGTCTGTTGTTTTGCTTCTGTCTTCAAGAGGTTATGTCGAAAGCTGTCTGTTCATAAGGATAAATATGTCAAAATTAGGCCACCCAAAAATTAGTGTCATTATATATACTGATAGTGGGGGAGATCCATGCCACACCTTCCTTAATATTAAAGTCCTCTGCCACTCAACTTTTCACTCTTCTAATGTAGACATTTTAATTTAAAATACACTAATGTCACTATGGAGCCATAGACCACAAAACATGGAGACAACACAGAATAGTACAGTTTTGTATCGGTATTTTTTACTGGAATCCCCTTAATCTCAAATTCTTATTCTCAGAAAAAAGACAACACTACTTAATACTTTATTTTAATGACATCCTCCAAAGCCTGTATTATCTTCTTTCTTTCCTAAAATGCTCTTTGTGGAGAAGCAAATCAGACTTTGTTTGTACAGTTACTTTTCAAATGGTTCATTATTAACAGGTGTTCCATGTGGTTTTTAGAAGTGTATAATTTCCTGTCTGTAGTTTCTGATTTAATTAACTACATCTGCTTGAAACAGAATGATGCATATAAGCAGGTTCCATGAGCGTCTGTAGAAATGCTCCCTTATTTATTTTTGTTTAGCAGATATTACTTATCATCTCTCAGTGCTCAGGAATGGCCACAATATATTCACTGAGTCTGGGTCATATTTAGGCGCAGTGTTTGGTTTTTCTTTCTTATTTATCAGTGTGTCTTCTTTCTTGCAATTAACCATTGTGTTATTTACCTGGGCTTCTGTTGTTTGCTTCATATTCGAGGGGACTGTTGTGTCTAAAGGAATTGCCCACAGGCCTTCAAGCTGATATCTGTGTTTTCTTTTGCATTAGTGAAATGTTTTCTTGGCTCTAAACTATCTGTGTAGGCCTTTGCAAAAGAGATGCCAATCCTTTCTAGTACAGGGAGTATATGCTGGTGATACTCCCTTTATTATTTTGCACATTCTGCATGCTCTCCATTACCAACATGTAGCAGTGATTAAGAAGAAATAGATAACTGGCCCATCATTAACCTAATAAAGTCAAAGTTGATGGTGAGAAGAAGGATTTCAAGAAAAATTGCCATTGCAGAATATTGGCCTGGCCATCTGCTGATCTTCCAGGCATAAAACAGTCCCCAGGGCTGTATTTCTGTAGTGATGCACAGGAATACTCATATTCCAGTTACTCCTCCCTACTTGACTGTGGAGATTCAGAGCTTCAGTCTGGGTCTTGGGAGAAAGGATTTTAGGGTCTGCTGTAGGGTGCAGCTTCCTTGCACCTGGGTGAGTTTGTGTTACATTTGGCATGAATCAGGTCTAAGTTTGTAAGTTTTATCTTCTCTGATCTTATGAATCTAGAATAGTTCAGTACAAAGGGACTTAATCATCTAGTCCAACTGGATCTCCACCTGACTGCCCTTTTCTCCTTTAAGAATCATGTTACTGAAATACCAGTTCTGAATTAGTCTTCATCAATGATAATGACACAGTTGATAGCTGATTAAATGAGACTTCATATCAGAAAATATCCCAGGTACCCAGATATCTCCATGTCTTTTATAAATACAGTTTTGTTGTCTGAGACTGTTGCTTTCCCTCACCCACCAGCAGATACATCCTGCATGGGAATTCATGTGCTGCAGCTCATGATACTGTTTAAGGTGGAATACGATTGGACAGAATTGTATACTGCTTTTTTGTTTTTCTTTTTAAACTACCACTGCTGGTTAATTCTCTCCAGCATTGTCACAACTCAAAAATATTTGTCCATGTCAGATAAGCGGGCTGGAGCACCTCCTGCATGAAGACAGGCTGAGAAAGTTGGGGCCGTTCAGTCTGGAGAAGAGAAGGCTGCGTGGAGACCTCATAGCAGCCTTCCAGTACCTGAAGGGGGCCTACGAGGATGCCAGAGAGGGACTCTCAGTCAGGGACTGTAGCAATAGAACAAGGGGAAACGGGTTTAAACTTAAACAGGGGAAGTCCAGGCTAGATATAAGGGAGAAGTTCTTTGCTGTGAGGGTGGTGAGGCACTGGTACAGGTTGCCAAAAGAAGTGGTAAATGCTCCATCCCTGGCAGTGTTCAAGGCCAGACTGGACAGAGCCTTTGGTGACATGGTCTAGGTGAGGTGTCCCTGCCCATGGCAGGGGGGTTGGAACTTGATGATCTTAAGGTCCTTTCCAGTCTTAACTGTTTTATGATTAGTAATGCTGTGGTGGCACGGAGGCAGCAAAACTGAGAACTTCAGCAGGCATGTGCATTCCTGGGAGCATCTGTGGGTGCCATGGTGCCATGCTGAGTGTGGAAGGAGCTGCTACAAGACTATGTCCTGAGTAGCAAAAGGTCTTCACAGCATGGAGACTGTGTGCCTTTAGCATCAATAGCAGCCAAAGTTGATACTCCTCTGAGTTTTCATTTTCAGCATAAAATTAGTCTTTCCAATTCTTTTTGCTTTAAGAAGGTAAGAAGAGCTGGGAGCCAAGATTTACTGCACCTATAAAACAAGATACCACCAGTTAAGTTAACCTGCAGCATCTTGCTTTCATGTAAAGTCCAAATTTCAACAGCAACAGGAGCAGGGGCTGGATCCCATCTTTGTGAAACAGTACATCCTTGCTCTCAGCTCCTTTTGACTTTACAGCTGAAGAGAAGAAACATACCTGAGAAAGTGCTTCTCAGTGGCTGCATCCAATTCACTGTCTTGGGTTGTCAAAATGCAGTTACATGCACATTTGCAGCATTTAAGGTGGATGTTTCTTCCATCAGCTCCATCTTGCAGTATTTTCTTACCCAGCAAAAGAAGTGTTTCAGTCTTTTTTTTTTTCCCCTTTTAATCATAAATTATCATAGGAAGGAAAATATAAAAGAAGAAATAAAGCTTTTCTCTACAGTTAGACCACAGCTGTTCAGGTAAAGGTGTTTAAATATGACTAAATTAAGTGGACTAACACTAACTTGTGAAAGAGAGACGAACTTTAGTTCTTTGAGCAGGCCCTGCCGCAGCTAATTATTTGATTTACATGCTCTTAATACAGTCTTGAAGTTCTCTTTATTAGGTTTCATTGGAAATTTCCTGTTTTTATTTTCCAGTGAGATGACAAAATTGCTTTGTTCCCACATAAGTCAGAAATAGGACTGTCTGTTAACTATTCAATGGCTATTACTTTTCAACTTGCCAAATGTGAAAGTAAGCAATAATATCATTCTCACAATTTTATGAGCATAAGAATGACTTCATTAATGGGATTTGATTATGGCTTCACAGGGTAATGATTTGGTGCCTGTACCTATTACATTTGGTTAAAGTTTGTATTTTCATAGCCTCCAAAAACCCAGATAAAGAGTACAGCCTTGTTAAACTATGTAAACAATCCTAATGTTTAGCAGAAAGTCTTAAATTACTAAGTTAAGGGAAAACAAACCAAACATCACCAAACAACATGTAAGCAGTGACTTCAATAAATGAAATTACTCTGTGAATAGCCCCTGTTCTGAGTTAGACATTGATTGCTGTGAAAATGTAACATATCTCTAGAGTCATCAACAGTCTTATGATTAGAGAAGTCATTTTGTATAACTCTGAACTGTGCTATACAATGCAGTATCTATAGAAATTGCGCCTATAGCTTGCTTTCCTAGATGCAGAAATCTCAGTCTAGCTATTTGCAGTGTGTTTATTACCCAGCATCTACTAGCACATGTAACTATACTTGTGGTACACTCTTGTCTTTGGATCCTGAGAGTTATCCATGCCTTTCACTCAGTAGTCTCAAGGCACAGGACAGCTTGCATTTGATTTGGCATCCATCTGTGATGTTTCTTGTTAGCTTGATGTTTCTTCTCTGTGTTGCTAAGTAATACAGGCTCTTCTCTATAAGGCATAAGCTTCTGTTTCTGCAACTTCAGGGCTTTTGGAATGAAACTGAAATTATAAAATAAACAGGCACCTTGTCATTTGGTAAATACATTTTAAAGATCGTTTATGTTTGTATTCGAAATGTGCTAAAGTGAGGCCTCTGTTGCCGAAGCAGTTCTCTGGTGGGTGGGATTGCATTCTTGATGGCTGCTTTCACATGCATTCATTTCCTTGGGATGATGTCAGCTCTAATTAAACGTGCAGCTGACTCCAAAGCTGGAGCAGCAGCAGAGCTTCAGAAGGGCTTGGAAGAGACCTCTAAAGCATACTGGAAGAACAGCAAAAGGCTAGATGAATGCAGAGCTTTTACACATGTGTTAAGTGACAGGTGAAATAAACTTCGAGGTTATGAAAGACTGGAGAAAAGAGGGGAATACAATAAGGGAGTCAGAATTCAATCTTGGTGCCTCACAGCTGTGGGCTTGCTACACTGGCCCAAGGCTTCAGGATTTCAACACAGAGATATTTCAAGGCTGTGTCCCTGAGCGTAGATGAATGGCCTGTGAAGTCACTGCTATTCGTAATCTTCAGTATCTATTCCACAAAACCTTCCTAGTGCAAAAAATTAATTTAATATGGTATAAAACATAGACATGGTAGAGTTGATGGTTGGAGTAGGGCGGAAAATGTTTCAGTCTTGCCAAACCTTCTCTTTTTGTACCTTTGACAGAGTTCTAGAAGTAATTTATTGATGTGGTGCTGTGTAGATAAAACAAGATACATTCAGATGGAGGTTGTATATAATATAATAATATAGGCTGTGTTTCTTGCCTACTTTCCTAAAGAAAGAAGAAAATACTATTCCTCTCTGCCCATATCCCTGGTGCTTTTTGACCTGATGGGCAACTTCAGGTGTATTTAATGAAATAGATGTTGGGAAGGAAATAATACAGTGAAAGAGATCAGGAAAGAGGAGAGAGACCCAAGTTAATGACTCTTTCGGAGAGAAGACGCATCATTGAGATTGAAGAGCTGTGTTTTGACCTACCTGCTTTTTTGTTATCACATGCCCACAGAGCAAGAAACAGGTCCTGTCCAACCCTAACTATTCTATTATTCTACAACAGGGTGTGCAGCTGGCTCTTCTCAGGGACAAACCGATAAGGGCAGGGAAAGAGAAGGGAAATGCTGGGGGTAGGGGGAAAACTGGTGTCTCTGTGCAGGAGGTGAGAGTTGAAGGCAGTAAGATGGAAAGAAGTTGGAGATAATATAGGCGAAAATAAAAACTGTAAAATTTAAATATGTGAAAAAGCAAGGTTGGTTTGTCCTAGAGCTTATGGAACAACTTGTGTTAGGATTAGATAAGGGGGGCAGTCAGGTTGGGTTTTGTTTGGGTTTAGAATTCCTGTTTTTCAGGCTTCAGTTTTAGCTAAGATATTGCTAATTTTGTGTTTTTTTCAGGTCTTGATTTTATCCGTGCTGAAGGGTTTGTGTTTTCTCATGTTGCTGATGAAGGGATTATAAATGCCTGTGCAGGTAACCTGCTACGATACAGAAAACAAGTTGGAGCAGAGAACATTCAGATTTTTGCTGATATTAAAAAGAAACATAGGTAAAAACAAGCAATATTTTATGCAAATATGAATGTAATAATGACTTTATTTTTCTAAATTTTTGCTTTTTTAAATGCTTATTTAGTGTCAGGAAGGTTAATGATATAGGGATAACTTTATTGATCAAGCAAGGTCTTGCAGTGCTATTAAGGTCATTATGTGCTATTATATTTAAAAATGAATGTGCACCTGTTAGCTCCATGTTGCTGCATCTGTGAAGTTTGCCATTGTTTAACCTTCAAGATTTATAAATGCAGACTGAAAAAAGTTCTGCATCTGGTATTAGGTGAGATTTTGTATACTTGGCTGTTATGTTTAAACAAATTTTCTTTCTGCAGGCTAGGCATACAAGGTTGTTTTTAGTTATGCAAGCAGTTGCCATATAAAAGAACCCAAATCATAATATTATGGTATTTTAAAAGAGCCATTCTCTTTTTTCTCCTTCCTGCCAATAATACTGGTTTCTTCTACTTAAATCAGCGCTATGTATGGATTATATTCTATGATTATCAAACAGAAAGAATTTATGACAGATGAATCCAGTTTCTTTTCTGCTGATACTTTATCATAACTGTCACCTGGTACTTTCAGCTATTTAGATGTCACTCTTTGTGTTGTTTTTTTTTCCCAGAAGAACTGCTCAAGTGTTATGTATTATACATGCTAAACAACCTAATTAAAATGTTTGTGTGTAGTATGTGTGTAATTGTGGGAATAACCAAGTCTGGAAGATCTTAAAAACCTAATAAACAGGTAATAAATTTCAAAGTAGAATGGAAACAATGCAGAGTGGCCAAATTAAGCTTTTACAGTCCCTTCAGAATAGTTTCTTTCTCATGATTTATATATATAAAGATATATGTATATATGAATGAAAATACAGTGCATTAGATTTTTTTCTAAAAAAAACCCTGATAGCATCATGTGACTGTCTTGACAATTGATGAATTGGTATTTGGATTGTACTTCTGTTGTTCAAAGGGTTTGCTTTTGAGTAAAGGAAAAGATGTTTTTGTTTCAGGCAGATTCATAAGCTGAAAAGGGAATGTTACAGTACATGTTGGTTGAGCTTTCTAATGTAGAAAAATGTGCCTGCCACCGAGAGCTGCTAGCCTCCTCTTCTTTAAATGTGCAGAAACTATTTATTTGTCTACTTGCTGTGTTTCGGCTACCCTCCATGTGCTAGTTTTAGGGTGCCTATTACTCTTAAACCTCATTTCAATCTCATTGTATGTATTTATTAGTTAAGCCTGCCTTTCTCCAGCTGCAGAAAGGGAGTTAGTGTACTTCCTTTCCCATCCATCACACTGCACATATATGCTGCCTCTGAATACGGCCAGAGCATGAACCACCCCCCACCCCCCCCCAGGAGTGTTGTCCATCCAGGCAGATCCAGGAAAGAGGCTGTCTCCAGCACCGCTCATAAGTGCAACATGCCAGCCGTAGCCATTGGTTTCTACTTAAATGTAAATACTGAAACAACAAAGTCAGCTGTTGAACCAGCAATTGCTGGACTTCTTACAAAGTTTAGAACTGTTTAAATTAAACGCTGCTTTTGCCATAGGTTTCATACAAAATGCATCACCCATATAACAAAGACTGCTTTTGAAAAGCTAGGTTGCAGGTAATTGATGTTTGCAACTACTGTGTAAGACGATTCCTGTGATTAAATCATAGGTAATAACTATACTTGCTGTTAGTTGGACTTTGTAAAATGGAGGTTGTTAATTCTGTTCTAGCAACATAATCTGATTTATGAATGACTGCACATCCATAACTCCCACTTGAAGTCAGAGCCATGTGTGCTCAACACTTCTGAAATACAGGTGCTCGACATGTAAGTAGCTGTCTCAATTGACACTTGGTAGTTCACACTCAGCAATCAGTCTTTAGAGACAGGAGACCCAGAATGATAGACAGATCAATTATAATTCCCTGATGGAAAAGGTTGGGTTTTTTCCTTCTTGTTCATGTTGTGACGTTACTTCTTAGTTTAAAACAGTATGCTTGCCCTCTCTCACAAAGCTTGCCTTTGGTTGTTCTGACAGCAGGAAAGATGAAGAAAATGTTAGACTGAACGTTCAACAAGGTGAATAACAAACGTGTGTGCCAACAGTAACCACAGGGTATGTTCATACTGTTGACAGTGCTCACGCTCTGACGGCGGATGTCAGCGTGGCCCAGACCGCTTCGGCGGCTGAGCTCTTCCTGGCTGATGGGGTTATACTGACTGGCACAGCAACTGGACTGCCTGCAGATCCCCAGGAGCTGAAAGGTGAGAGCTGTCAGACAAAGGTAAGACAATGGGCAGCAAATCTGGATTAATGTAGAAAGGAATCTATTTATCTGCTGTTCCTTAAGGGATAAAAAAAAATAATAAAAAAATGAAGAGGCAAGAAAAAAACCTCTCACTGTTGGGTTTGATTTGATACAGGAGAACTTATGTAATTGAGGTGCTACTCAGATTGTCTGTCTTGTGGTTCTAAACAACAATTTGTTGTGATGAAAATGAGAATTATTTCAAGCCTTTGTAACACTGAATGATGCTGAGGTTTAACTACAAAGAAAATATTAAAAATGTCCACAAAACCATGTCAAAAAATCCCACAACTTTTCATTTCTGACAAGTCTTCATATAAAAAAAAGCTACTTTATAGCCCTATTAGAAAACTACCTAACTATAAATCTTTCCATTGAAGAATAAGGCATTTTTATCTTTCACAACTGAAATTCAAGTCCTGAAAGAAAAGGGGAATTTCGATAAGGCAACATTCTGATCAGTAATACCAAGGGAAGTACTGCTTGGAAGATTTCAGAAAGAGTACAGGTTCACTGGTAGATACACAGATATTACATCAAAATATTTTTTAAATGGTGTGGACTTTTTGTCAAGGGAGGGTCATTCGACCAAAGTTGTTACCCTTTCCAAAGTGTTACAAGTTTCTTCACATTTTTCTATTGGCATAAGTTTGAGCTGTTATGAAATTGGATTGCTCCCATGCTGGAATTGAAGTTCTGTCATGGTGGCATTTAATTTTCATCACTAATTTTAATTTAATCTCTTGAATTCGAGGGTCTCTCTACATAAAATAGAACGTGTAATTTTTTTTTTTTTTTAGGGTTTATTTTTGCTGACATGCTTTAACTTGTCATGTTTTGAAGTTCTAGTGCAGAGTGTATTGTATTCAACTTTTGTTCACTGATCAGCGTGAAAAACATACTTTACTTGCCATAGATACTGGGCCTCAAACAGCTTTTGAAATAACATGAAATTATTCAGTGTTTTCAGGATTTTTGTCTATATCATATGTGCTTAACAGCATGTAAAATGAATGTTGAACTTGTCAAAATGGATTCTTATTTCACACGTTAAACTTTTTGCCAGATAATGGGTTATAAATGGCTATGCTTCAGTCACCAATGTTAAAATGATGGGTTGGTGTGAACACTGAGCTCTTGAATTAGGTGAGTCTTTTGGCATAGAAAACTAGAAATGATACATGAAACAGGTGACCCGAAAGCTAGGCCTATTTTAGAGACTGCAAAATTTCCTTAATCATAAGCTTCATCCCTGTCTGCAATTAATGCTCTCATCACTCTCAATACAGATTAAATAATTTAAAAAAAATATTGTATAATTCTTAGGACAAAATCCTAGGTTAAACTCCACTTTCACAAATGCATGTGCAACCGCCATTCATTTCCTGCATCAAAGAGCAAAACCTGACCTCCAGGCCCAAAGTTTTTTTTATCACAGGACGCCAAACAAATAGCACCCTGGCTTCTGCTTTTCTTCTATGTGAATAAACATGTCAGTCTGTCCTGCTCTCTTTGTGGATCCAAAGAACAAAATGAATCAGAGTTGGCAGTTGTAATGAAATACACGCATTAATTTTGTGTTTGGATTTGTGCTATGAAAACAAGAGTCTGAAGATCATGGGTTTATTTTAACTTAGGTCAAAGCACTCTGGATGTTAGCAGACCCTCTCATGAGAACGATGTTGGCTTAAAACAATTAAGAGAAGAACTTAAAAATCAGTATTCCGGGGTATAAGGAAATGACAAATTAGGCATAACTATGTCAGCAGATTCTTAAAAGGAATCAGATCTGCAGTCTACAAAGCTGGTGTTGATGTGAGTGAAATTCTGCTTTTCACGAATTTATGCAGCTCTGGAAGTGCTGTGTTATGATGATACACACGATTGGGCACCTTTCATCACACTGCAAAGCATCTCTTGAAAGCAGAACCAAGAGATGGATGAGATTTTTGTCATGTCTTCTTTTCAGCTTTGTTGTGCGGTAACGTAAGAGTGGTTTTGCCTTTGTGTCTTTGTGTTGAATTGACTGATACGTGATGGGGTGGGGGAAATGAGTGTTTCCCTGTCAAACCACCAAACTGTGTTAAGTAGGATTTTGTTTGTAGTTTGTGTCACTGCCTTTTTGTAAGCAACCATCAGTATTGCCCCTCGCAGAGGCTGGTAGGGCCCAGGGCATACCAGGGCACCAGTGGTTGATGTAGTACAAGGTCTAAAAATCAGACTTCAGGTTATTAAGGAGCAGGAATTAGCTGAGCATTTTTAGTTACAATTAATTAATAAACCATATTTTCATTCAGGAAGTTATAGAAGTTTGTTCCAGTTTCTACCTTCTGAAACATTCTTTGGTTGGAGTGTGGTAATCTATCAGGTTTTCTCTTTGGATCCAGCTGCAGAAATACCTACTTTGCATCTAGTCTGTATTTTAAGTGACTAAATCTTTGCATAACAACTGCTTAGTTGTCTCTTTAAACAAAGCAAATGGCCTCAACTGAGTAACCAGTGGCAAACAGGGTACAGCAAGGAATTCAACAACTGGCTGTGACTGTCACCTCCTTAGTTATTGTTCATAAAAGGGTTATCAAGGCTGATTTACCCTCTCACCTTCTGATGATACATTTAGGTATAAATAGAGGCTGCTGCCTTTGTGGTACTCTTGAAATAAACAAGAGATGTGAGTCTGATCAGTGCTTTTTGTAAGCCCCACATTTAATAACAGTCATTTGAATTAAAAAAAAATGTGTTTCAGTGAAGCATTACCATAAACATAGTGTTGTGTACGGTACAGTGATTACTGCATATGAAAAAGCTGTTAAAAGAGGAGTAGTCAAGCAAGTTATTGGCACAGTGGTGCTTATTTTTACGCTGCTCTTCACCATTGTTTTCAAGCTAGGAGCATTTGGCCTTTATTTCATGTAACTTGTGCGTACCATAGTTAAATTCTTTCATTGTGCTTTGCAACCAAGCACTACTTTATTTGATTTTATTAAAGACATGTCTGCGGATGTACTGCCACAAGAAAGAGCACAGTGCCCTCTAGTTACAGTTTACTGAAATAGAGAAACGTGGAAGTTCTGTAAACTTTAGGATCTTGTTACTGTAACGTCAAAAAATTGTCTCCCTCTCTCTTTGTGTAAAAAAAAATAATATATATCTATATATACACACACAGGAAAAGAAAGGCAAGAAAGCTGAAAGATTTAAATCTCTGTGTTTAGAGACATCTTGACAGTGACTGAACATTGCCATACAACAGCATATCAAACTGCTGTTGCTTTATTTTCTTTTACAAGTTAGCATTTGTATTAACCCAGCCAACAGACAAATCACCTTGTACTAATCAACTTTAGGCCTTGATGTGCTTGGAAATGACGTAGAAGTACCATCTGTAGCATACTTAATTCGGTACCCCAGTCTTAATCCAGACTGAGCACTCCCATTGCCATTCCTCACATCATCACTCTAAATAAACCTGCAGCTCAGGAGGTGTGTGTGGACTCCATGTGTCATGTATGGGTGACAGCAGGAGTTGGATACCTTTCTCCTTTGGAAAGCTTTGGGGTTTTTGTGGTTTCATAACAGTCTCAGGTTTTGCTGAGTTTTCCTCTCTGCTAGGGCTACGCGACTGTCTTACACCCAGGTGATTATGCTCTGTTTAATTATTTGGCTCTTAATTTTTCCTGGCAATATGAAATAATTATCAAATGACTACCGCTAATGTGCCTTATACACTTGTCCTAAAAACAAATATTGACTTGGAATGCAGTTCCCTTAGGAATACAGTATACAAGTACTGTTGCACACACCTTTGGTCAGTTGTAGAACCTTAATTATGCATTGGCATCTATGTAAAGCAAATGTGGTGCTTCTAAGAGCACATAGATACTATATAGGTATTGTGATTTTTCTAGAACAGGATTTCAGTAATCATACTGTAAATAATGAAACTGTAATTATTTTGTTCCTGTAAGCAGGATGACTATAAGAATAAAAAAACGTGTAAAAATAACTGAAGTTCTAATTATATAGGCATGATCCACCTGATTTATTTAAAATTTTCAATAACGACTGTGTAGAATGGTTTTATTTTTGTATTGAAATATTTGTAAGGAGGAGTTATTGTTCCTACATGGAAAAATGGTAGGTCATGTGACCTAAAAAGAGATTCAAGAGCATTTTAATTGATCCCCTTTCTTCAGTTAAGTAGGAAGGTGATAAATAATTAGTCTTCCCTGAAGCATAATTAATAAGTAAGGCTGCTGATGAAACTTCATTTAAACAAAGTGTTTTGAAGCAGACTCTTATATGTTGCATATGTGTTTTCTCCAGTTACCACAAGCTCTGACGATCTCACATCAGTTTATCACCCATTAAAGTAATTCATATGTGTTTAAAGGTCAGAAATAACGCCTCACAACATTTCTGTAAGGGATGAAGCATCCAGTCCTAGAAGTAACTCTGAGGACAGTCAGATTGAAATGAGAGGATGAGAAGGATGCTTAGTAATTCTTGGACTGGGATATTTTTTTAATTTTTATTTCTTTTTCCAGGGCTAGTACTGACCCAAGTTCTGCAGAAAATACTCCTAAATAACTTCTATCTATGGGGAACTTTTCCATGCTTAAAACAGCCATCCCGTTTTGGTTTTGTTCTAAAAAATGGGAAGTGTGGTAGCTGAGCCGTAGATCCATTTCCTTACAGCCAGATCTGTTGGAATGTATGCATTTTACAGTGAACCATGCACTGGAATCCACCCTGTGTGTGAGGGACGAAGGGGTTCTGTAATATTTTGAGCCCTGTTTGATATTTTGTTTATTTCTCCTTTTGGAGCCAGGTGAAGGGTCAGATGATAAAGTAACACATGTTGTATACAGAAAACAACAAGGGCTTTTTTGTTTCATTGCCATTCCCGGAGAGAAAAGTAGCCTTTATCACTATTATCTTTTGCTTTCTGGAGCTATCAGTGTAGTCTATATGACTGCTGCTTGCTTTCCTACTTTTGAGTCCCTGAAATATGTCATGAAGTAGAGGACACATTCCTTTTCCCTGTGAATAAGGCTGCTCTTGTTTTTTCACTGAAGATCTTCTACTATTTGTCAACATAGCATAAATTCAGCAAGGATACCTGGCAGAAATACACACCAGTTCAATTACCATGTTGTGATTTAAACTGATGACAGAAGAATTGTAATAAGCACAGCTCTGCTGAGTAGTTCTGCCACTGTAATGTTCTCACCAGACTTGCAAGAAAGAATCTGAGTTGATATGACAAATCAAAACAAGAATGGCATCCTGTTCTTGTAGCTGTATTTTGATTACTTAATGGGAAGACTCTGGAGGTGATGACATGTCTTTAGGTGAGGGAAATGGAGAACAGTGTTGAGACTCCACACGGAGCATAGTAGCCCACACAGTCATTCCAGTGCATACTTTGTCAAGGCAAATAGATATGGTTTGCCTGGAATCTATACTGGGTGCTATTGCAACCCGGTAGTAAACAATAGCTCCTATCTGTGTAGGTGTAGTACCTCAAGCACAACGGAGCCTCTAAGCATGATGGTAACAATCACAGTAAGTAAAAGTGCTGTGCAAAAACTTCCTGCATCTAGCATTTCTGCCTACCAGGGATGTGGAGTAAAGATGAATTGGTGAGGGGACTATAGTAAAATGCAGTACATTCTCTGCCAGCCAATTCTACTTAATCGTGGTTAAATCTTGTTCCTTGAGAATAAAGAGGGATACAGGTATGGTATCAAGACCCAAATTTTGTATCTTACAAAATAGTGAGAACTAAAGGAGTTCTTTTTCTAGAGAAGTTGTTTCATTCTATAGAAGTAGTACAAAATACTGTGATCACTATTTTCTTGATCCTCAACTTTATTGTTGAAAAACTGTGTAAATTAAAGTCTTGGTAGAGTTTCAAAGACGGACTTAACCCTAATTTTGGTTTTCTTCTTTTCAGAGGTTAAAGATACTGTGAAGATTCCTGTGCTGGTTGGGTCTGGAGTGACTCTGGAGAACGTGATGACTTACTTGGATGCAAATGCTCTAATAATTGGTTCGTATTTCAAGAAAGAAGGTTATTGGGCAAATGCTGTTGATCCTGGCCGAGTAAAGAAATTTATGGAACATATACGTAAACTGAGAGAGTGAAATTGTCAGTAAACAGTATTTTTTCATGTGTGTGTATAAATGTATTATGATACATCATACAGAATTAAAGCACAAATGTGTGGTTGAAGGGCTAATAACTTGAAATGAAAACACTCATCATCTCCATAACTAGCTGGGAAACAGGGTGGCGCTTACAATAAACTTGCTCTGATATATGCTTCTAGGCAGCACATTTCTGTGGCACTCAAAGCCAGCGTTAACACAAAACCAACTCTCTGAAGTCTTGTATAATGTATTATCTCCTATAAGTAAAATGCTATGGATTTTAAGAATTTGTAGTAAATACTCATCACAGGTGAGCTGAGTTTTTTTTTGCTTGTGAGTACAATAGAATGCCCTTAGTTTACAGGTAAGAGTGGTAAATTGGACAAGTTAATTACTCTTTCAGTTTCCCCATCTGTAAAATGATGATAATAGAACCTACGTCACATGGGGGTTGTAAGACATAATAAATGAATGAATGTACAGCTCTTTCATCTCTTCAAATGAAGGGCTCTTTTAAAGTTCAAGATCTTTTTTTTTTTTTCATTAGAATTGTGTATTTATTACAAAAATGTAGTCATTGTATCCCATATAAAATTTTAGGATAATTGGGAAATTGATTTACTTACAATACTTATTAGGTAGTTAATGTAAACATTTAATTACATTTTAAGTAGAGTTGGAATTTAGTCAAAATGTTTTCACAAAAAATGGAAATTTTAATAAAGGTTTATTGTTATTTTTCAGCAAGCTCCTACAGCTTTGTACCTCTCCAGACTAGTATTAGTGATGTTAAAACCTGCCAGGTTCCCTCCAATACACAAAGTGTAATTATGATGGAAACCTTTCTAACAAAGCTGACAGCTAAACACAGATTTTTATTTTTTCCTGTAAAATGTAGAGGGAAAATATTACAGTCTTACTATGTGTGTTGTGAGAGGTTCCCCCTGAATTTGATCTTTTAGCTATATGGAAGTTTAAAAGAACCCAAAGAACAGTAGCCATCTTCAAATAGTCAGCTGAAAACTACGACCAGTACACTGCTAAGGATTGTTGTGTGACAATAATTATCTTTAAAGAAACTGATTACAGTTGCCAAAGTCACATTCATCACTGTGAGTGTGAAAATACAATGTGTTGCCAGCATCTTTCTTGAATCGTTTTTTACTCATTCACATCCAAAAAACTCAGAAGTGAATGGAACTCAAATGGGTTTTCATCTGCATAAAATGGGTGATGAGAACTCCTTCAATGCTGTATGCAAGTCTAAATGGAGTAATGTTAGATGTAGTAGTCTTTGTAAGACAAAAACCCTCATGAGTTGGTGTAACGCTCATCACACACAATGAACAGTGTAGACAGCACTTCCACTGTCAGGATTTCATTTAACATACCTCTGTGTAACACTTACGAAAGGAAGAGGACATATTTTTGGTCTGTATTGTTACATGTGAATGGTAAGTGCAGAATTTAGTGAACAGAAGTAGAGGAAAGCAGATTCTAAAGCCTGGAAATGTGACTGATGGCCAACTCTTTATCATTCTTTGTGCTGAAAGTATTTGTCTAGCAGCATTAAGCATCTGCTTGCCTGTTTCACACAGATGCTGTAAGTTAAATTTGACCTTTTGTTCAGAAACTGTTTGAATACTTAATGTAAAAATATTAAGTTATCAGAAAGGCTGTCTCTTTTGGGAAGACTGTTCAATTTTTATACACACCAAGTTGTTAAAGTACTTCGGAACATGAACAACTTCAGAGGAGAACAAAGCAGGCAGTGCTAATGTGTAGAAACTCCAGAAGTAAATAACAGCTGTTCAAGAAGACTTCTATTAAATATGTATTAATTAATTTGAAGTGCATCACTTAAATATGTGAAGAGATTATCTTGTGTTAATTTACATTAAAACACACAGCACTTGTTAGCCTCATTACAGTATCCTAAGTATATCCTAAGCTATCACCTCATCCTACATTGAGCATTTTGTTGGGTGTTGATTGCTTTCGATTTGCCCTTTTAAAATGTCAGATAGTGGCCTCTCTTTTCTTATTGGATCTCTTCTTTCTCTCAGGTTTTGCTCTTGCGTAGTTACTGTACTTGTGTCTATTCCGTGCTGAACAGAAAAGAATTAAAAATAGCTTGTGAAAATACAACAGTAATTGCCCACAGCTCAATTCCTTCACATGCCCATCCAAACCTCATGTGTGGTTCTTGCTGGGAACTTATGAACCAGCAGAGGAAATATAAGTGTCCATCTGTGTAAGAAAATGACACTTCATGAAGATTCAGTATCACCTGAATCAGCACAGGAAAGATACCTAGTAAAATGGGGGTCTCAAGTGAAATTATAGATAAGTAAACCTCACTGGTAGTAATTGACTTTGTGGTCCAAATCAATATATAAATCCTAATAAACCCTTATTATTTCCTAATAAACCTTATTAATTCCATTCATAAAACTTAAGTATTTTCATCTGGACCTAATAAGACAAATGTTTTTTTACCTATTTCAGTGCTGCAAATATGTGAGCTTGTAAGATTTATTGATAATTTTCAGAGATTCATCTAGTCAGAATTTGCTGTGCCAATGAACTTGAAAGTGGATTATAGGAACAGAACCCTCCATGGCTTTGTTTTCTTGCACAATTGCAGTCCTTATCTATGCAACCTAAATTATATATTTCAGAAAGGATGGAAAATTGGGCTGAGATATTTTATTAAGGGCTAAAATGGCATGCTGTGTCATAGAACTGACCCTCCCCTCCACTCTACAGCCAGCACTGTAGAAATACTGTCAGTACTTAAAATCCCTCAGAGAGAGACGTAGCTGGATTCCTGCCATGGGGGTGTCAGGGAAACCTACCCATTAGCTCCTTGCCTTTATAAGAACCAGTGCTTGTGCCAAGGCTTGCAAGAAATTGTTCATGTTGAGGCATAATCAAACTTTGCTCCATCTTTTACCCTATTCTTTACCATTGTTTGAATATTAGTGACAAAGATTATTTGAACCCTTGAACACTTGCTTTAGCAATGAAAAGCCTATTTCCCTTAGGATGTCTTTAAAAGACCTATGATAGGACTAATAACTTCAATCACATTATTCTCATATGGTGACTGGTTAGGACTCTTCTGTTGAAAAGTCCATACTTGGTCAATATTAAGTTGAAAATTTTGCATGGTTTCCTGACTGCATTTATATTCCTGACTTCCTCTGTCAAAAAGACTTTGTCACACTCTCACTCAGGTCTGGACAGACCAATTAGACACTTTCCTTGGATTATTCTTCATCTGACAAAGTTGCTACTTGCCCATGCACTATCTCAGACTGATGCCTTTGGGGCACTGAAATATTCCAGCATTCATAGAGGAGTCACTTTCTCCCCTGTGCTTTGCTCACAGTCAGAGAAGCCTCACTCCTTCCTGTCAGCCTCTGTAGGTCTGCAGCAAATAGAGGACACAGAATCATTGGTCATTTAGGTTGGAAAGACCTTTAAGATCATCAAGTCCAACAGTTTACACAGCACTGCCAAGTTCACCACTAAACCATGTCCCCGAACGCCGCATCTACACATCTTTTAATTATCTCCAGGGATGATGACTCCATCACTTCCCTGGACAGCCTGTTCCAGTGCTTCACAGCCCTTTAGGTGAAGAAATTTTTCTTAATATCCAATCTAAACCTCCCTGGCACAACTGAGCTAAATTAAGGCCAAATGGTTTCTGATCAAATGTTGAGAGTCATAGATGTTTGTCACCCCAATCTTTAAATACACAGATAACTTTGGGGAGAAAAGACTTTCTGCAACACAAATAGGAAAACCTTTCACATGAGGCATAAGTTGCACTTCACAACATAGTGTGTTCCTTTGCTTACAGTTTGAAGCTTTAGAAGTAGTAAAGGTAAGGAGAGCCTAAGATGCTTCTTGTTAAACACTTGACGGTAGGAAGAGATGTGTGAGGGTAATTAACTTGATTAAAAATCTGTTGATCTTATTAACAGGTAGGTGTCTTTCAAGATGTCAAAATGGGATTTTATTGATTTGGGGTGAAGCTACTACACTGTATGTTTAACTTCCCTCTTCCCTGTTACTATCAAATTTTCCTTGTTTCAGAACTATAGTAAGTTGTCAGACAAGAGAAGTTAATGTTTCATAATTTCTTTATCCAAGGCACATCACTGTTCTTGAAATGAATGGGACAGAGATGCCATTTGTTTGCGTGGATCACTGGGTTACTGGATGTTTTTTATATTAAAATGCAATGTGTACTTCTGTCCTACTACCTGTGCAAAGGGAGATGGAATATTCAGTGTAGAGGGTAGGAGAGTAGGTATTTAGGACCTTTTTATTACTTAGGGAATAACATCAAGTGTACAAGAAATTGTAAATATCTAAATTTGCCAAATCTGATACAAAAATTAAGTGTTCGAGATAGTAGTTAAAATCAGAACTGTTCAACTTTGTGCTACAGTCAGTCTTTTAGCTGTGCCATGTCATACTGCTATCAGAATGAGGTCACAGAATAGACAACTTGGAGATCATGTTTCATGCAAATATAGGAGGAATCCCAAATTTGGCAGTAAGCAGGGATGAAAAGGAAGGCAGCACAGTAAGGGCAAGGAAAGATGCTCAAGTTTCTTGCAGTTCCTGTTTCATTGTTTATTCCAGCTTCCTGCTTTTTCAGCCTGCCTCTCAAGCCTTTCTTGTGCATATACATAGATTATAGTATGCAGAAGACTAAGAATAAGCTGAAGGCAAAAACTGATTTAATGAAGACATTATTGTGATAAAGATTTTGTTGTCCACAGATGCGCAAAGAAAAATAGAAAAGCAGCTGCCCTTAGAAATTGAGCAAAAGTAGAGATGACTGCCACGTCATGATGCTTTAGTCAAAATCTGATGTGTTTGAAGTCTTTGAGAAGATCTGTACTGTTGTACAGGGATATAACCAAGAGGAGAAACAATAAGCTTCTGCTGGAAAAACACTGCCTTGATACAGTCTTTGATACAGTCCTGAGTATTGTTGACTTTTTTGTCAACTTTCAGGTGGAGAATAAGGATAAAAAGAAATAGCTTCCAAGTCTTCTGTTAAGGATGACAATATTAATAATCAGTTTCATGTCAAAGCCTTCTGTTTCCTTAAGACCAAGCAGTAGAAGTATAGCTGTGTGCTGTCATCTTCCAGAGGAAGGTTCTGAAGGGTGAAGGTCATAGTCTTATTAGCTTCCATCTCTCCTCTGTGGATAGTTGGTTTGTCTCTACTGAAAGCCTTTGGGGGCAGAAACACCATAAAGGTGATAGAAAAATTTATATGGCAAGTGTGTGGGCAGGTAGGATGAACTGGAGCTGAGATATAGCAATCAAGTGTAGGCTTCCTGGGTCACCTGGCCTGGGGAATTAAGAAACTAGGGATGTAGTTGGTCAATAAGGAGTTATGAAATATACAAAGTATCTGTATCAAAATGAGGTGGCAAGCTCTGGAGTTTGGGTGAACTGGGTGTCTTATTCCACTCCTGGCACTGTATCTTTGAAGTATCAACTGAAGCATTCACAAGAGCAAATGCAGCTGCTGACATTTCAGCTGTGGAAATTACATTTTGTAATGCTTTTCTAATTTGAGAGTTTAAAGAGTTATATGACTAATATTTCAATTATTACTGAAAACCTTCAAGTTTCAGGAAAGAACTTTTTTTGTACACTATCCTGAGCAAATGGCCAAAAATATAGGATTTTTTTTAAGCACTAGCCCTGACTGCAGCAACATACCTGATGAAATAGATCAGTGGTCCAATCTGCTTCGACAACTTCTATGTAACTAAAAATAGGAGAAATAGCAGAGAAAATTTGTAGGGCTGGTAGTGGCTTGTATTTTTCAATAATTTATCAAGATTTGAGAGTAAAGATTTCCTTTGGGAAATATTAGTTCTTTGGTTTACAAAGTGCCTCAGTTGTAAATACCCATAAAAATGACAATTTGGTAGGTCGTATTTATTCTTAAGCGGGTCAAAGGACATTAGTGTATTCCTACTATATAAATCTGTCAAGTACAGAATTTCTTTATGCTCCCAAATCACAAAAGCGCCTCTTATAGTCAAGGAGAAAATGTCGCGTTATTGCCAATCAAGGACAACAAACAGGCATATTGATCTCTGCCCAGTA